AATTAAAGTGTCCTTCCTCCGTGTCGGATCTAGAGTTCCATCCAGCGTTCAGCGCAATCAAAGCTTTGTCGTACGTCAATGACATATAGTTCTTGATGGTACTAGTAATTCCAACGTTTCTGTTGCGGTCAATCTCAACACCGTTGAGTTCATATCGAATTTCCTCAAACATGAACGCTACACAATTATTTCCAAGCGTCGACGATATCTGGTCGTTTTTCTTCTTCATCGTTAATCTTCCTTCGATGTAGAGAAAACTGTCAACGTGTACAAATCCTGCTGCTCTATGGGTATCCGTATCTCGTCACTATGTCCGAACGTAGTGTTGGCGTACGGATTGTACGTGTGAGTCTCAATCTTGACGATGCGGTCGTCAAAGATCGCCGGTAATATTCAGGATATCAGCATTTCGTACGATGAAACCCAACGACTTTAAAAATGCAACGTTCGACGAAGTGAGGTCTTTTCCATGTGTAATCTTTCCAGTAAAAGATGTATCTCTCGTCTGTTTCGGCTGTTCGTTCAACACAAGCATCTCACGATAACGCCGTCGTACGTGCAATCTAACGGTGATCTCTTCTCCGCGAAAATCAAGCAATCGACCATCTGGGTTCACCACGCGAATCGTCAGATCCGTAATGCTCCGTACGACGATCGGAAGGTAAATGATCTGCGTAGGTCTTTCCGATATCTTATATCCTGGCGGTACGCTCGGTGAAAATTCGTGTATCGTGTGCACGCACCTGTCGTTGCTGTACGCACCCGCGGTCACGTTGCACTCGATACGAATGTTTACGTTGATGATATTTATCGGCACATCCGACTCATGCCACTGTTGCGGCTCCAGCACGCGATTAGACGAAAATCCCAGCAGCGAGCCAATGTTGCGAGGTTTTGTAAAATTTATCCGATAGGCGCATTTGATCTTGAAAATTAGCTTACGGCGAGGACGCTACTCTTGCCAGTCAGCGTAAACGTCAGCGACATGTTTGAACGAGCACTGAGTCAAACAGCACAATGCCTGTCCTTAAATCACTTATCAACCGATCGTAGAAACTGTAGACAAGCTGCCCGCAATTGTTCTGATTGTAACGCTGATGAGGCGTGCGATTGCACCGTTTGCCAGATATCGCTCGAGTTCCTTCGGCGG